TACAATTTAAAACTTCCATCTTGATACATTTCTCTGTAGCCTTCACTACAATCTGCAAGATAGAAATCATAGATTCATCCACCTAACGTCCATATCTGTACATAAATGACAAATTGAAAAGAGTTTCCTACGGTGGCCCTTTAGGGCCATACGTTGATTTAAACTATTTTCTCGCAATTTACCTCATATGAGAAAGCGCAGTAAAAACTATGATATATAAAAAAACATGAAAAATCTTTTCTCCGCGGTGCAAACCTTTTCTCTGCCTTTTCTCCGCGGTTTACAATTTTCTTCGCGGTGTAAATCTTTTCTCCGCCTTTTCTCCGCGGTATAATGGTTTTTTTCCTCTCTGTAAAACGTTTTGTCTGCGGTTTACAGATTTCTCCGCGGTATAAAACATTTTCTCAGCGGTGTAAATCTTTTCTCGGCGGTGTAAATCCTTTCCTCCGCGGTATAAAGTTTTCACCTTATCATAGTTTTCACTGCGCTTTCTCATATGCGGTAAATTACAAGGAAAATGTCGCTCCTAACGGTAAAGTTAATGATAAAGCAATTTAAAAAAATAAAACGAACGTAATTTCTAAAGCTGCTGTAATAACCAAAGAGCTAAATATTAATGCTATTCAAAATTATTCTAAGTCGAAAATTTTCTGGAATGTGGTACCACTTGTGGAACTCTTGTGGTAAAAAACACCACAGACCCAAAACACTCTATGAATATTATTTAAAGTCGAAAGTGCCCCGAAACCATGCCATAGATGGTTAAAGTAATACAACGTGATATTTACCAGTCATTAATCTTTCACAGTATGTTCCAACATATCCACCATAACATACACAGTCATTATTAACTAATGTGCCATTATTTAAACATTTCTAAATGTAATAAATAATCATTATTAACTAATGTACCATTATTTAAACATTTCTAAATCGTAATAAATAATCACTATTAACTAATGTACCATTTTTCATATAGTCCTATATCGTAATAAGGGAGGTTGGATTGCTGAATGGTTAGCACGTGCGCGCTGTACAATAAAGTCTGTCATTCAGTCAACTGGCGGGGTTTCGATTCCCCGGTTGTACGTGACAAGGAGTAGGGTCGCCTGTCCAACCTCGGGGGTTTTCTCCGGGTCCCCCGATTTCCTCCCACTGCTAAAGACCCCTACGCGCAAGCGTATTATTGAAATAAAAATTAAACCACGTTAGTCCCGAAATGACCTAGTTTGTGTCGAGTGGACGTTAAACCCCATTTCTCTCCCTCTCATATCGTAATAAATAATCATTATTAACTAATGCATCATTATTCATATATTTCTATATCGTAACAAATAATCATCATTAACTAATGTACAATTATTCATACCTTTCTATATCGTAAATGTACTCATTTGGTTTTTTACATTTTTTAAAGAAAATAAGTTAAAAAAATGACGTCTTCATCCTAGTATCTATGCCAATGAGGCTGTTGGTATGATGTTCCCCTAGGAACTCAGAATGATGTCTAAACCTAAACCCCGCTCGTTCTTATAAAGAGGATACGTGCATGAGTCATGGACTGACCCCCGGGATTCTGGCCAGACACTTCCTTTATCTGACGGGTCAGCTGCTCAGAAGCTACCGCGGATTTAAATACAATGTACTAATACGGCACCTAGGAGGGCGGGTGTCCACGTTTCTAAATCATAGGATTACCATATTTGGATTACCAGGCTATGATGTCATTGACAGATCTTAATATACAAGGTCTATATCATTAGCTCGGTTCTTGTTGTGACTTGTACTAGCTAACGACTTCAAAACATCAAGCAGAGCACCTTTCATAGAACTAAAATAACCCCTATAGTATTACACTATCACCTTTATCTCCATTCCTGATCAGATTTTAACGGATTTGATGTTTTTTATGCAGACACTTTTTCAAGGAGAAAATAAAAGATACCAATTTTAGAGGCCACTTTAAATCGTCATTTGGATTTTTTAAAAGCGTATATGGGTTTACAACAGCCACCGTTATGAATACCATGACACATTTTAAAAAAAAAACAAACCTACCTTTACGGCGTGTTTCTTTTTGTAGTAAATCGAATCAGCCAAAGTTACTCCATTTCCACAATCATTGGCTAAAATTCCAAAATTTAAAAAGCAAGTTCTGTCCGTTTTCCTGTAAGAAACTGATAAACAAATATTATCTAAGGAACATCTGGCCGTGCAATGTATTACACTTCTTGCTTCAAGAGTTAAATAACTTTCATGGTTAGTCAGAACCTTATCGTCACAGAAATCTGGACGGACGAAATCTTCATTGAAAGGATCACAAACTATATTCTGAAAACAGCAGTACAGGAATGGCAGGGTTTTTAGTAGATTAACTTTTAACATAGTTGTCTGTTACGTATTTTACCCAGAGGACGTAAGACGATCTTCACTCAAGCTAGAATGATATTTTAAATGCGACTTCTTATATAATACAATCAAGAAAAACATCGATTAGAATTTAATGCTGCACTTAATATAATATCGATTCACTTGCAAAACAATCAAAAATCAATCTTTGAAACATTTTAACGAAAGGATATTTGTTTTGGTTACAATCTATACAATTCAATAGATAACATAATTTATTATTTACACGAAAGTCCTTAAAAAATATTTGGGCAGTGGTGTTTATTAAAAATTTTCTGGTATTGACCGAATACTCAGATAATTCAATATACTGAAATAAAGGACTGCTAATCAATGTTAAGTTTTATGTGAAAAATGCTCTATATCTTTCTCATCGAATATCATTTAGGTGCATCGAAATTGACCCCGGCTGGTTTTTGATAATATATGATATTGAGAACTCTGTATATACTTCTGTTAAGGCACGAATTCGCTATGTTATAATTAAACATGTAATTAATGCCATATGTCATTTACAAGCTACGTATGATGATCTGAGTACAATCTCCGCGTGACTTGAAAGGAAATACACATCGGTCAGTTAATCATACCATGACCTGATAATAGACAATGCGATATATGAGCATGACTCTTATCCATTTTCCCTAATTGTTGGGCTATATAACCAAGAGTTTACTCACAGTTGTCTGCGATATCACCTCGGTGGAAGCGGACGTTAAACACAGCTATTTCACACACACACACAGTTAGAGAGGGAAGAGGGGCAGGAGATGAGCATAAAGCAGCAGAGGAGAGCAGAGACCGGCGTATGTACTGTTACCCGAGTTTAGCCACCACCGTGGCAGAAGGGCCGAATGTTTGTCTTAATGTACCATGTTAAGATTATTGTTTATATTCCTGTTTTAATTTAGTTCCTGTTTAATTTATATTCAACTATTCTGTTCCTATGTAAATAAACCCTATTTTATTAGAGAGAGAGAGAGAGAGAGAGAGAGAGAGAGAAATGGGGTTTAACATCCACTCGACACAAACTAGGTCATTTCGGGACTAACATATGGTTTAATTTTATTTCAATAATTCGCTTGCGCATAGGGGTCTTTAGCAGAGGGAGGAAACCGGAGGACCCGGAGAAAATCCACGTGGTTGGACAGGCGACCCTACTCCTTGTCAAGTACAACCGGGGATTCGAAACCACGCCAGTCGACTCAATGAAAGACTTTATGATACAGCGCACGCACGCTAACCATTCAGCCATCCAACCCCACCTATATTATTAAATCTATTATCAATAAATAGTGTTACATTTATCGGCTTCATCTCTTTTTGTTATTATACTCTGACCATGAAATAACAGGGATACAAAAAGAGGGTCAGAGGTCAAAGTTAAATTAAAGATGGCACCCGTAAAGTGTCCAGTCGTTCTAATGGGACGAACACCGCGAGGTTCCTGGTACAAGTGTCAGACGACTCGTCATCTCTTAAAGCTCAACCCCAATTACAAAACGACAGAAATAAGTAAATAAAAAAAAATTAAGGCCCTAAACAGTCGCCACTCGACTCAATGACAAACCTTATTATTTAACGCACACGCGTTAAAACAATTGACCTCTGACCCCCCCGGCGTATTAAATACCACCGCCGTTATCTTTTATGCTGAAATGTTTAAATAGTGATTTGTTTAGGTTGAAAATTTTAGGTTGGGGTAAGCCATCTTTTTGCATCTTTTGTTTTAGATTAAAGCTGAGGCTATATTGTAGTAGACTCAGTTCATATTTACAGGGTTACCTGATCAGACAGTTTGCAATCTTCAATAATTTGGTATACTGTTGGGAAAAAATACAGCAATCAGTGAAGCGTGTGTAGAGAATAACCAGGATGTGTATCGACTGGGTATCGAAGATTTAGTACGCCTTACCCATTTTATCGTTATGTTTTTTAATCTGGCGGGCGTCCTAATCCATCTAAGTCTCTGCCATCGGATGATCTAGAGAGTTGATCTTTGCCTAAATAGTAGTTTATATAACATTTGAAGTCACAATAGAGACACCCAATAAACAGGTTTAGATCTTACATCATGCATCTTTAATACATGCGCCAACATCTATTTATATAGTCTGATACCAGGGTATTGATTATATTTTAGGATGTGACCAGATTGTCTTGATCTCGCATTGTTGTCTTTATTGAATTTTTGGTTTGCACCAGGGCTTCCACCTCAAAATTTTCACTGCCAATAATTTTTGATAACGCACGAAACTTTTGCAAACTTTAAAAAACTTTGAAGGTGTCAAGAGACAGATGTTGATATCAAAATAATATATACATTATACTTGAATGGATAGCAATATTCATATATGGCTGTATAATCGCCAGTATTTTGTCATAGCTTAGAACTGTTATAGTGTATCTTTGTATATATTTTATTACTATTGAATTTTAGTTAAAGTAGTAATTGACCAATGTCCTAATTGATATCTCAGTTATCTTCCAAGTCTTGTAACTGTTTATACTTAATGTAATGATATATATTACGTATCTATAGTTAACACGCGTTCTTGCTATATCAATATCTTCTGCTGTATTTATTTTACTGTAACTTTAGCCTGGTGACCGGCTCACCCTAGCGATACATATCTCGTTATTGTGACCGTTAGCCAGTTCTGGACACTCGTTTATTAAAAGTACAATTTTAAATATTTATATGAGTTTTCGTCGTTAGTGATGGAATAACCTACAAACCCTCTGAATACAGCATTTCGGCAGAACTTACAGCATTTCTGATCAATGATGAAAATGGTATGTTATTTTCTTATTTTCTAATAGTTTATACCGATTTAATAATACTGATTTAAATAAGTTTCGCTTTAGACAAAGTTCATTAATTAATCTCAGTCGTTGTACCTTTATTGGAAACCCATGGACTGGTTGTCACATGTCACGAAACTAGAATTAGGTATAAATATCGACGGGTAGGCTTATTGTTTCTACAACGTCCTATTCAAGGAGTTCATTTACCTACTTACGAGTAGGACATTTTCAGACCGTTAATTTCTTTTAGAAGCTGAACGACGAAAAACCCACAAAAAAACCTGGAATATACTATCAGGCAATACAGGCATTTCCTTTAGTAGTTTTTATACGCCCACATTTTCATGTGGACGTATATTGTCGTCGCCCCTGTCCGTCCGTCCGTCCGTCCACAATTGTTTGTGAAAAGTCTACAGGTTACAATTTTTATCCGATTTCAATGAAACTTGAAATACAGGTTTATCATCCTAAGATCTCGGTTCCTTTCGATATTGGCATCTATCGGACCGTAACCTCATGGATTATGGCCCCTGATTGTACGAAAAATCACGTTTTTAGCTTGTGAACACTGTAGAGGTCACAATTTTTATCCGATTTTGTTGAAACTTGAAATGTAAGTTTATAACCCAAAGATCTCAGTTCCTTTCGATATTCGCGCATATCGAACAATAACTTCCTGAATTATGGCCCCTGATTGTACGTAAAAACACGTTTTTTGGCTTGTGGACCCTATAGAGGTCATAATTTTTATCCGATTTAAAAAACCGTATTATTATATCACCGTTAAACCCGAAGGACGGTTGAGTTCGAATTTCGTGAAAATCGGCCCAAAACTGACAGACAAAATGGCCGCCGTTCGTTCTCAAATAGCGTAAAAATATGGTATATCAAAGTTGTGGACCCTATAGAGGTCACAATGTTTATCCGATTTTGTTGAAACTTGAAATGTAAGTTTATAACTCAACGATCTTGGTTCCTTTCGATATTTGCGCATATCAAATTGTAATTTCCTGAATTATGGCCCTTGATTGTAGGAAAAATCACTTTCGTTTTAGCTTGTTTTCTATCCATCTCTCGAAAATGTGGGCGTATCCTGCCTGGCAACCGCTGGTTAATGTTTCAGATCACGTCTAGCATTGCTTGCCACTACTTTGTTGGTCATCGTCCTGAATGTAACTGTTTGACCCGAAGTGGACGTTGATGTCAGGAAATTATTTCCTTTATTCGCTATTGTTAGGGTGAATCTTGCGTTTTGATGGTCAATTAGACACTGTCTATTGGGCAATAACACCACTCTGTTTTAGTAATTTCTTTTAAAATGCTAAAAAAGCATGTTACAATGTCGATAAACACTTCCTGTTTCGCCTTTAGAGGGGTGTTATTGTCCAATAGACGTGTAAATTGTTATTGTGTGTCTATTGGACAATAACACCCCTCTAAATGCGAAACAGGAAGTGTTTATCTCTTAAGTATAGCCACTGCTTTGATGGTCTTTGTCTTATGGGTAACTTGTTTAACGTTGTTTCAGGTGGCGTCTAGTATTACCACTACGTTGTTGATCTTAGCCCTATGGGTAACTGTTTTACACGGAGTGGAAGTTGATGTCGAAAGTAAGTCTTGCAAAACATCATGTTAGACAACAATGCTTTAATAACATTTTGAAGTGGGGGGTTCGTCAGACATAATGTTATCGAACATTACGATTAAGAAAGAAGCAAACAAGAGGGACACCATCAAAATGATAATACTCAATAGTGAAATCATATCACGTGTCTGTCTATAAAAGAGTTAAAAGTATGTTGTCATATTTCAGTAGTTTATAGGTATAATTAAAATTATATTTTCATATTATAGGTATAAAAGAGTTGAAATTATATTTTTATATTTTAATATTTCAATAGAGTAGATTTTAATATTTCAGTAATCTATGGGTATAAAAGAGTTAAAATTATATTTTGATATTTCGGTAATCTATAGGTATAATAGAGTTAAAATTATGTTTTAATATTTCAGTAATCTATGGGTATAAAAGAGTTAAAATTATATTTTGATATTTCAGTAATCTATGAGTATAAAGGAGTTAAAATTATATTTTGATATTTCCGTAATCTATAGGTATAATAGAGTTAAAATTATATGTTTTAATATTTCAGTGATCTATGGGTATAAAAGAGTTAAAATTATATTTTGATATTTCAGTAATCTATGAGTATAACGGGGTTAAAATTATACTTAAATATTTCAGTAATTATGGGTATAGAAGAGTTAAAATTATATTTTAATATTTAAGTAATCTATGAGTATAAAGGGGTTAAAATTATACATAAATATTTCAGTAATTATGGGTATAGAAGAGTTAAAATTATATTTTAATATTTCAGTAATTTATGATAATAAAAGAGTTAAAATTATATGTTTTAATATTTCAGTATGGGTATAAAAGAGTTAAAATTATATTTTGAATATTTCAGTAATCTATAGGTATAGAAGAGTTAAAATTATATTTTAATATTTCAGTAATTTATTGGTATAAACGAGTTTACATTATACTTTAATATTTCAGTAATCTATGGGTATAAAAGAGTTTACATTATATTTATATATTTCAGTAATCTATAGGTATAAACGAGTTAAGATTATATTTTAATATTTCAGTAATTTATGGATATAAAATAGTTAAAATAGGTATAAAAAAGGAAGGTTGTTTGTTTATTAGAAACCAACATTTGATGTTCTCTTTAATATTTTCAATGTGACCAGAAGGGGTTCACGAGAACTATGCAGACATTTGCAAACAATATGTGTTTGTTTCTTCTTTTTTTCAGTGCCCAAATTTAATGATAACACCTGTTCAACTAATACATTTTACAATAAATTCCAATAAATTGAATTTGTTTTTGGTGCAGTATTTCATGATAAAATTGACAATTAATGATCGAGTATTGCCTTATTATGGATGTTTAATGATTCTATTGTTTTTATATATGGTGCAGTATTAATGACGCTATTTATTTTTTATATGGTGCAGTATTGTATGGTACTATTTATTCTTTATATGGTACAGTATTGTATGGTACTATTTATTCTTTATATGGTACAGTATTGTATGGTACTATTTATTCTTTATATGGTACAGTATTGTATGATACTATTTATTCCGTTTTTGGTGCAGTATTGAATGACACTATTTTGTATAGGGTGCAGTATTTTATGATAAAATTGACAATTAAAAGAAAGTATTGCCTAATACGGATGCTAGAAGATAGAAGCGGTTAAAGTCACCCGTACAACCTCGGGTAACGTGCAGCGAGTAACGAAGTAACCATGTATCAAAATTTAAATTTCTATTTCAGTTACATGTAATAAACCGTGTCTACACGGTGGTGAGTGTGTGTTATCACCTGATTTGTGTTCCGGCTTTAAACAAACATGTGCCTGTCCACCATCTTATACTGGGGAATTCTGTGAAAAGGTCATACTCAAAGGTAAGCTGACCTTAATTGCTACCGGTGTTGTGGTGCCCTTGATCCTAATTCTTGGAAGTAGTTTGATAATGAGAGTAGCTTCAATGTTTTTCGTCTACTTTTTTCATATTTTCAAACGGAAACTCCTCTTGAAATACTTCAATATTAAACCGAATTCTATTTCATGGGACAACATTTCAGGAAACGTTCTACTGTTTTGCTCTGACTGGGCTAATGAAGACGGGTACACACCATACAGTGTACTGTGAGAGAAATTTTGCCCAGGCTGCTCCGACTGGACTAATGAAGACGGGCATACACCATACAGTGGGCTATGAGGGGAATTTTGCCCGGACTACGGCCTACTCTTGTATCGAATTCCAACTGTCAAGAGCTATTTTACATGCACGGGACCTCGGTTTTTCGTCCCATCCGAACAACTAGACAGTTGTCCTTGTCAGGCCCTCCATCCTGCATCACTGGCAAGGGGGACCACGGCAAATGCAGGAATCGAACATCCGACCTCCAGGCTAGCGAGCCAGCCACCGTGACCCAACACTTCTAGGGTTATATACACATCATTATAATTTTTTTTATTTCATGTTTTTAAATTACAGTAAATTGTGATAAAGCTTGTGAGAATGGCGGTCAGTGTGTAGTCAAAGTAACGGAAAATACCTGCACAACTGTTAACAAAACCTGTGTCTGCCCACAAAACTATCATGGAGATTTGTGTCAAACATTTGTTCGTAAGTGTTTACTGACTAACGTGTTCTAATTCAATTTGAAAGTGTAAGTGAATAGATATTACAAACATCAATGTATCTGACGGGTTTAGGAATATTGCAATTTCGTTTTAATTAAATGTCGCAAAAAAAGGTTATGCTTGGTTGGCAAAGATTAACAAATCCCTCAAATGAAATTCAGAGATTTCAAAGGTCACATGATAAGATTCTAATAGGTTCGACTTTTCAGCAGCCCGGCCTTCATATCTACTTATAAAATCGCAAACCATTAATAACCTGACGGAAGTGTCGATTTGGATGCTTGGTAAATCACATCATTTCGTATTGGTAATTGTGTCGTAGGTTACATCATAAAGCGCCATATACGTCAGAACAATATACGTTTTCATTACCATAAACAACACAAAATTAACCCTCAATTTTGTTTTTCACCGTCAGCAACTAGAGCTTCTACGGCTTCATGTGACCCTCCTTGTACGACAGGCCAGGGCGAATGTGTTGTCCTTCGAAATTCACAGTTAGCACCTCACTTGACTGATCGAGCCTACTGTAACTGTACAACGGCAGTAACAGGATATTACTATGGAAACCAATGTCAACATCATCAACAAAAAGGTAAGTTTTATTCAAACATTGATGAGAGAGAGAGAGAGAGAGGGATCGCGTTTAACGTCAACTCGACACAAACTAGGTCATTTCGGGACTAACACATGGTTCAATTTTATTTCAATAATTCGTTTGCGGGTAGGGGTCTTTAGCAGTTGGGGGCAACCGGAGGACTCGGGAGAAAACCCACTAGGATGGACAGGCGACCCTACTCCTTGCCATGTACAACCGTGGAATCGAACCCACGCCAGTTGACTCAATGACAGACCTTTTGATACAACACGCACGCGCTAACCATTCGTCCATCCAAAACCCCTAACATTGATGAGAGTATTGTATATTTATTGTACTGACTTTACATATGTCTTTGTGATTTTATATAGATCTAAGCTCTAAAGGTGCTTGTGCAAGGTTTTTTTTCCGGTAACACAAGTGTGTAATTGAAATGCTCATATTGCGGAGAACTAGATCGGGGACGGACTAGCACATATTTCGTCATATGTGGATTCTGGGTTAGGGTCAGGACCTGCATATTTCGCCAAGGTTGCCAGATTTAAACCGGAATAGCCCTAAGTCTAACCTTGGACCAAGCGTAACCCTAACGCACAATGCACATATGATGACATATGTGCTACACCGTCTCCGATCTAGCGTTCTCCTCATAGTGATGGCTTCAGACTGGAACCGGATACAATGGGCAAAACAGGCAGAGTTATCTCCCCTCGATCAAATCTCGCCCACGCGAGATTACGCAACTTATTAAATTAAACATTGACGTCATATATTATTCTCACACTTATTTTTTTAAACAACATTTACATACTATTTCAATTAAAAACTATTTAAATTAAAGATACATTCCCGCGTACAAACTTTGTGATTTGATGATAGATTTGGACTAAAAACATATTCAAAGTAACCAATCTATCAAAAGTTTGCTTCAATTCCCTCTCAAAACTTTGTATTCGCGGGGATACCTATAGCTATAAGTAAGCTGAAAGCTTAGCTTCATTGTGAGAGGGCCCAATTTTCAGAATGTATTTATCATTACTTACTGTACATTTACCATATATATTAAGGTCTAAGTAAATTCTTAATTTTTTTCTGTCACCTTCTTTTGTACGTTGACACCCTTCAATGTTCCCAAAACCGCCTAACCATTTGATCCAAAAAATAACAACACAATAAGCTGGCAGATAACAATCGGGTTGCCAGTTAGTGATACCCTGACAATTTTGCCCAGTGATTGCCCCATGGGCGTTTTACGCGTAATCCAGTATTTTTCTAGTAAGATTGAGTGTCTATACTTTCTATATATATACCACATTTGACGTACTTGTATTGGAAATAACCACCCGATAAATACTTTTCTACGAAAGTATCTTTAAAAGAATTTGGAATTTCACGTGAAATGAAATTATTTAAATAAAACCTCTTATTAATTTTGTTGTTTAGTATATTTTGTTTATCACCAGTACCCTGTGACCCACCATGTAAAAATGGCGGCGTGTGTACTGTTACTGGTAGGTGTAATTGTCAAGGAACTTCTAGGGGTGATTACGATCCAGGAGACTGTAGCATGTTTTCCACAGGTAAGTTTAGATTTTTATACGATCACAAATCTGTTCGTCACCTGTATCCTTCCAGTGGAGGGGCGCCAGTGAATCCAATTAATATCATGTATGTTCGTCACCTGTGTCCTTCAAGGGGACCGCACCAGTCTTGGTCACCTTGCTACTTTCATTGGAGGGCGCTAGTCAACCCAGTTAGTATCATTTATGTTCGTCACCTGTGTCCTACCACTGGAGGGTGCTAGTCAACCCAGTTAGTATCATGTATCTTCACCTGTGTCCTTCCAGTCAGCCCAGTTAGTATGGCAATGACCCAATAGTGGAGCAAGCCAGAGCCAGAGGATGGCTTCAGTCAGCCCAGTTATTATCATGTAGTGACTACTGTTGGTAGCCGATAAATTCCTGTAGGACATTCCAGTTTGGTCTCCCCTTGTTTGGCAAGGAAATATGTCTAGTGTAAGGTAACGAAAAAATAGATGGCCGCGATTTTCAATGGATTGAAACACGATTTATATTTATTTTATAAGTCGGCAGTCGAGACCTTGTATATTATCGTAACAATGGTCCTTGACAATCGAGACAAACGTCGCTCTGAATAAAGTAATTTGACTGAAAAGTTCAATAATTCATTTTTTGATAATTTATTTTTGAACTATTTAAGCACGAACGGCCAGCTCTTTATCTAAATCCTACACAAGGATTGGTGATTTTTTGGGGATAGGAGGGATTGTTACGATATGGAGGGAGAGAGCGGGGAGAGAAATGGGTTTTAAGGTCCACTCGACACAAACTAGGTCATTTCGGGACTATCATAAGGTTTAATTTTATTTCAATAATTCGCTTGCGCGTAGGGGTTTTAGCAATGGGATGAAACCGGAGGACCCGGAGAAAACCAACGGGGATGGGCAGACGACACCACTCCTTGTCACGTACATGCCAGTTGACTCAATGACAGGCCTTATGATCTAGTGCGCACGTGCTAACCATTCGGCCACCCAGTCCCCCATTACAATAGCCACACGAATACTACGACGCTATTTGGACTTCGGTATGGATGGAACAAGTTGGAAAAGCTGGTCTGGGTCAGCTATTTAGTCTCTAGACACCCCCCCCCACACACACACACACACACCCACAACTATAAGATCATACTGCGCTATTATGACTTTAGAATCGATCGTACAAGGTAGAAAGGGGTGAAGTTGGAGCTGGTCTAAGTCGAATATTCATTCTTGCAATTTACTTAGGAGCCACCGTGGCTTAAAGATAACGACGTTCGCTTGCTAAACTAGAAGTTCCGTCCCGTAATCGATCCCGGTGTTAGCCGAGAGAACGTTCCTCCTTGTCAGTGGCTTAGGACGGGGGCCTATCAATGGGCAGCGTATTGTCGTTCGGATGGGAGGAAAAACCGCGGTCCCGTGTTCACAAGCTAACAGTGAGACTGATGCCCCCCGCCGAAATCTCGAAATATAAAGATGACACATATTAATTAATTGCACGTTTATCTTTTTCAAAAGTATTGAGCAAACAAAATAATTATCAACTCTACATTAAGTTTCATCACAATCTATCAGATAGAATCAACCTAACGAACATCAACATCAAGTTGAAACACTCTACCTCAATTAAAAGCAGAGTTGTTATGTTCCAAAGTCTTGACCAATCAAATGGCTTATCACTCGCTGCTTAGCCTCAGCAGAAAATGTTCATTACCGAAATTGGTCACGGTAATGATATAATGAAACTATACACCAAGTTTGATCACTCTCACTTAATTAGAACTAAAGTTATCGTGTCCCAAGGCATCAACCATTCAAACTTCTTATCTCTGCTTACCCTAAGCAGAAAATGTTCATCTTCGAACTCCATCAAGGTATCGACCTAATAAACGCCTACACCAAGTTTGAGAGAGAGAGAGAGAGAAATGGGGTTTAACGTCCACTCGACACAAACTAGGTCATTTCGGGACTAACATATGGTTTAATTTTATTTACATAATTCGCTTGCGCGTAGGGGTCTTTAGCAGTGGGAGGAAACCGGAGGACCCGGAGAAAACCCACGAGGTTGGACAGGCGACCCTACTCCTTGCCACGTACAACCGGGGATTCGATACACCAAGTTTGAACATTCTAACTCAATTAGAAGGAGAGTTCGTATGTCCCAAAAAAGTGTGACAGACGGACAGACAGACAGACAGACAGACACACCAATTTTAATAGTCCCCTGCTTTCATCGAAAGGCGGGGGACAAAAAACTGGACAGAATAAGCCATAGCACCAAGTTTCCTCATAGAACACTACTTCATTAGCCCAGTCGTAGAAGAAAAGTTGGAAGTTAAACCCCATTTCATTTCTTATGCTAGTGTCATCAAGTGGCCTGCAATTTGTATTTTAGATCAATGTAATCCTGCCTGTGAGAATGGTGGATCCTGCCTGGGTGGTGTCTGTCAATGTAAATCCACGAACGAATGGGATTACAGCGGTTCGCATTGTGAACAGGCTGGTGAGTTCTGGATTAAATCTATTTTTTCCTTGAAAATTTTAAATGGATGTTCTACGATGCGAAACGAAAAACCTTAAAATTTCAAACCTTGTTTAAATGATATGGTTCTGTTATATTTTCTTCTCGTTGTTTATAGTTCAATGTGCCCCGGCTTGTGTTCATGGAGTGTGTTATAGCTTTGGTGATAACTATAGTTATTGCAGATGTGATTCAAACTCAACAGGAACATATGAAGGATCGACTTGTGATATCTTTACAGCCCGTGAGTTATCAAATTTAAATTATCTTCCCACAAAAATCTTAAAGGAGCTGTGAGTATTTTCATTTGATGCATGAAAATGTTGCCATGAGCGGTCTTGCAGAGCGGTGCGACTGTGAAAAAATGTCAGTTGAACCCGGTTGCTCATGTTTTATTTTTCAGTGATGACCATCAAGCAGTTCATTTGACCTTATTTTGTGGAGGGCGCTAGTCAACCCAGTTCGTATCATTTATGTTCGTCATCCGTGTCCTATCAGTGGAGGGCGCTAGTCAACCCATTTAGTTATGTTCGTCACTTGTGTCCTATCAGTGGAGGGCGCTAGTCAACACAGTTAGTTATGTTCGTCACCCGTGTCCTATCAGTGGAGGGGGCTAGTCAACCCAGTTAGTTATGTTCGTCGCCCGTGTCCTATCAGTGGAGGGCGGTAGTCAACCCAATTAGTTATGTTCGTCACCCGTGTCCTATAAGTGGAGGGGGCAAGTCAATCCAGTTTGTATGGCAATGGCTTAATAGTGAAGCAAGTCAGCGGAAGACGACAGTCAGTCCAGTTTGTATCATTTATGTTCGTCACCGGTGTCCTACCAGATATAGTTCTATATTTTGTTCCCACTATTTATAGCTCAATGTACCCCGGCTTGTGTTCATGGAGTGTGTATCGATGGTTATTGCACTTGTGATTCAAATTCAACAGGGAGATATGAAGGACCGGCTTGTGACATCTTTACAGTCAGTGAGTTATCAACATTAATTATGTTCACATAAAAACCAAATGGTAGATTTATGTCACCTTGGCGATCCGACTCTGCTGTGAGCATTTGGGTTTGAGGCAACAGAGAGTTATAAGTTCAGATGCCTCCTACATGCGACGTCACATCATTATGGGTTTGACATGTAAATAAATGTCTTAATAATAGTTTATATAAAAAAATAAAGGCCTGCAATAGGCAGATTTAGCTTATACATAACACACCTTAAATAGTACAATGTTTAGGTCGGATATGTGAATAAGAGTATTAACCTATGAGTTAACGTTGTTGATATTAATATAGTTCAATGTTTCGGTCAAATATTTCAATTCGAGTCTTAACCTATGCTTTAACGTTGCCGATATTAATATATAGAGTCTTTCTTGATATCAAAAATATCAACCCTAAGGAGATATCGCAGTAGATTATGAAATTTATCACACAAGTGATACCTACTGTAGAATGTATTTTGGGGTGATAAAGTCGTTTAACAAAACTTTTTAGGTGCGTGTAGTGAACTTTGTGAAAATGGCGCCACGTGTGGAGTATATAATAATGAGTGCCAGTGTAAATCCAATGCAACCCATGATACATCGGGACCGACGTGTTCACAGGTGTCAGGTACTAGTATGATTTTCATTACAGGCGTCGAGCAAGACGTTAAATTAATAATTATTTTCGATTTCCAGGGATTTTATTAAACGGTGGTGGGAAGACTACATTAACTGTAAAATCTGAGATTCATTTCGTTTTACAGTCTGAAGTGATATTGAAAAACCTCGCCATACTTTCCTGCAAACTGTGCTGCTCTAAGTAGGCGAGGACCAGAATTAGTGGTTCTGAGTGCAAGATCCATTTTCCATATACGCGTTTTCTCGACGTTTCCGCGCGCATTTTCGCCGGCGAGAAAGTCGGTCTAATGCAAATGGGTCCATGTATATAATTGAAGAAAACGCGCACGGAAACGTCGCGAAAACGCGTAGATGGAAAACGGAGTTAAGACATTAATTTAAGTTTATAAATATATATTCAATCGTCACACATAGATTAGTGTTTAAATCTGTTGCTAAGCATTTATTGCCATTTTCACCACAGAGAGCATATAATTTTGGTAAGATCGTTGCTTGCGTCAACTTACATCTACGAGGAGCCACGGAATTTTCTACTGTGTCTTATCCCCTTGTCAGTGGTGCAGGACGCAGTGCCTGACAAGAACAGTTGTCCATCACGGCTCCCAGAGAGAAGTCTACCTCACCTTGACATCAAAAGTTCATTCGAAAACCGCCGATTGGAGTGATACGTGAAATGTCTGAAGAAATCCACCATTTTTGAATCTTTGCGAAGCCACCGGCGGAAGGCTACATCACGTGACATTCAAAATGGCCGACCGGATTCACCAAAGAGAAACGAACTGTAAACATCTCTCTGGGATCCGAGATTGACAGTTGTCTAGTGGAACAACTGATGTCTTCATCAGTCCAGTGTGTGCAGAAAACTAGGACATTAACCCCATTTCAATATTTTGACCCTTAAGGGTGCGTGCATGTCAAAGATAAGGGTGGTTTTTGCGCCGGAATCGATTTGTATTATTGCGCTCCCTGTCTCGGTCGTATGATCGCCAGGCCTCTGAATGGGACTTAATTTATTATTCAGTTTATAGTTTATTAGAATGTGTCGGTGGTTGTTTAAATGGAACTTATTGTTATATTTATAATTTATTAGAATGTGTCGGTGGTTGTTTAAATGGAACTTATTGTTATATTTATAATTTATTAGAATGTGTCGGTGGTTGTTTAAACGGGGGTGCATGTGGACATGGAAGTACGTGTCTATGTAGCCTAGAATACACCGGAGCAAACTGTGAAACATATATAGGTAAAGTATACAATATTCTTCTTGCCCTGAGTTTGCTGTCGTTGTTTTGATCCCAGGCTTCTACCTGACATAAAATAAGGTGACCTGCCTAACCTCGTAGGTCATGTATGGTTTCTCCGTATTCCTGTAATTTTGCTAAATGCGCCCAAGTTATGGAGCCAGCCGTAAGAATTCCTACAGAGTGAATCTCAATATGAACTTATTCACTCAACACATTTACAAACACTTGCAGAAGTCGAATGTTAGAAATGATACCTCTCTCTCTCTCTCTCTCTCTCTCCACACACACACACACACATACCAACATGCACACATTAAACTGATTTAAAATACCATTTGAAATAATGGTAGGGGCAACGTGCCGACGGTACATTATTTATACTAGTTGGAATTTTGGACCCGCGTGACGTATTTCTTTGCAAAGCACGCACGGATGTCTGTATTTAAGTTGTTTAATGGTCTCGAGCTTAAGACCACACATAATGTTTATCTTGTATGAAATTTGCATTCATACAGGTTGTCCTTGTCAGAATAACGGAACATGTATTGATCAATACTGTCATTGTACAGCAAACAGCACAGGAATATACTATGGACAACTTTGCGACCAATTCCTTTTTTCACGTAAGTATATTTTAGGTAAATCAAAAAATATCAGATAATAGAAAGCGCAACGTTGAAGGCAGAAACTTTTAATAAGATTGCACACTAGTTCATGTTTGTCAAGCATTTATAGGTGTTGATGATCCTTGGTGCGTTGGCGAATTGCGTCATCAATCAACATGCCTTTAAAGTGTAATGCTTATCCAGTCGCGTGTATACTACATAAGCTGGTACCAAAAACACGTCCGGCTTGTCGGGGATATCATTTCGGTGGATATAGACGTAAAATAAAGCTATTTGACACACACCCGTCCGGTATCTCAAGGGAAAGTATTGTCAAATATAACTAATGTCGTTTTCAAACATACGGGTATTGTTATCTTGATGACGTCTCCCGGCATGAGCGGTGAGAGCTAAGTGATGAGTAAGGCCCGTCTATGTACCCGTTTGTCTGTAGTTTCCCCTGGCGAAAAAGTTGGTCTTATGCAATTGTAATGGGGCTGTGTCACTGTAACCGGCGAGAATGCCCACATGGAAACTGGCGGCGAAAAAGTTGGTCTAATGCAATTATAATGGGGCCGTGTCAATGTAAGCGGCGAAAATGCCCACGTGGAAACCGGGCTTATGGCTTATGCCACAATAGAGCAACTGTTAGGTGGGGTTTTAAGATATAATGTATGTACGATATGATGATATGAGATGTACAATAAATAACACCCGTTTAACAACTATTGCCACCCCAGAGGAGAATTTATGAGCCCCGGTTTTTTCTGGAGTAGTTTTTTGCGAAGATTTCGAATTTGGGTGGTGATCAGGCGCTTGAGGGGGCTTTTCTAAGATACCTATTGACTAATAGATGTACAATAAATAACACCCGTTTAACAACTATTGCCACCCCAGAGGAGAATTTATGAGACCCGGTTTCATTCGATTAACAACCTGGTGAAATCGTCTTGATAAAACTCAGTAAATCAAAATAGTTGATCACATTATAGTTGATACGAAGTGTGACATGTCTGTGGATTCGTGAGAGATGAAGCGCACTCGGCAAACCTCAGCAGATTCCAGAACCCTACATCTAGCCTCGGCTGTATGACGAAGTCCGCCATTGGAACTGCTTTCAAGTTCCCGGATTACTAACGGCGTTGCCCATGGCGACGCCTTTGAAGAATATTTTATCATACAAATATTTCAAAGTCTGAAGTTGTTTTTCTTTCAAGTTTATCCGATTTTCTTCAAACAAGTAAAACTTTGCACCGAAAATTCTACACACGTTTCGAACGACGCAATTTTGATAACTTCTTTTTAAAACCGGCAAGGTCTCCTAATAAGCAAACCGGTGCCGCATCGCATTTTTACAGGTGTAGGTACATATCACTTACCGTCATACAGCCGAGGCTACATGTAGAGTAAGGGAATCTGCCGAGGTTTGCCGAGTAAGATGAAGTGGTATGTTAACTTGTATTCAGTGTTATGTATGGGTTCGTCTGTCTGTCTGTCTGTCTGTTTGTCCGTCACACGTTTTGGGACACACTAACCCTCCTTCTAATTGGTGTATCGGTTTATTAGGCCAATGCCTTGATGGAGTTCGAAGATAACCATTTTCTGCTTAGGGTAAGCAGAGATAAGCAATTTAATTGGTTGATGCTTTGGGACACTATAACTTTAGTTCTGATTAAGTGAGAGTGGCGAAACTCGGTGTATAGTTTCATTACATCAATACCCCGACTAAGTTCGATAATGAGCTCTTTCTGCCCAGGGTAAGCAAAGCGATAAGCAATTTGATTGGTCGAGAATTTGGAATACAATATCTCTTCGTCTAATTGAGCTAGAATGTTCAAACTTGGTGTAGGTGTCTTATTAGGTGAAGGCCTTGATGGAGTTCGATGATAAACAATGTCTGCTTGCGGTAAGCAGAGGTAAGCAATCTAATTGGTTGATGCTTTGGGCCACGATAACTTTGGTTTTAATTAACTGAGAGTGATGAAACTCTGAGTATAGATTTATTATATCATTACCTTGACTAAGTTTGATGATGAGAATTTTCTGCTTAGGATAAGGATCGGTAAGCTATTTGATTGGTCAAGACTTTGGAACATAACAACTCTGCTTTTAATTGATGTTGATGTTCATAAGGTGAATGTCTTGACTGAGTTGAATGATTAATATCTCGAGCTAAAGCTTAACAGAGCTAAGCAATTTCGTTGGTCGATGCTTTGGGACAAGATAAATTTGATTCTATCTGATAGAGAGTGTTGTAACTTAGTGTATAGTTGATAATAATTTTGATTGCTTGATACTTTTGAAACAAATAAATGTACAATTAATTAATATGTGTCATCTATTTATTTTTGGATTTCGGCGGGGGACATCAGCCCCACTGTTGGCTTGTTAAAATCGTTTAAAGGGCGAATAACTCTATTCTTTGGAACCTTAAATTGGTACTACGGGTTACATATCTATCTGTTGGTGGGAAATGAAATGAAATGAAATGAAATGGGGTTTAACGTCCTACTGTTCTGCTCCGAACTGGGCTAATGAAGACGGGCATACACCATACAGTGTGCTATGAGGGACATTTTGCCCGGACAGCGGCACTACAACCTACTCTTATATCGAATGTCAAGGGATCTTTTACGTGCACTCCAATGTGTACACGGGACCTCGGTTTTTCGCCCCATCCGAATGCCTAGACAGCTGTCCTTGTCAGGCCCTCTGTCCTGCATCACTGACAAGGGGGAACCACGCCGGAAAATCTAGAAGAACTTTCTCGGCCAATGCAGGGATCGAACACCCGACCTCCAGACTAGCGAGCCAGCGTCTTACCCACTTAGCCACCGTGACCCCACTGTTGGTGGGAGATGAGGAGGTGTGTTAACTTGTGTTCGGCCTTTTATCAAAGTCGTGTAGGTTCAGCCTTTTAATCCATCTATTGATTAATCTTATCCACAGCTCCATGTTACCCGCCAGTTCTCAATGATGGATTGTGTGTTACTCGACAATCATTTTGCCCATATGACGTCATAGGGTATTTCCATGGTGACCAATGTGAACAGTACAGTCCACACAGTGAGTACTATATATTACTGACAAAGCCATAATAGTTAGACCAATTTCTTCCCAAAAGATACCCATTATTCCAAATTTTGCTATGGACCACTTCCTCAAAATATACTATGGCAGCCATCTTTGATCTTCAAGATTTCTGCTATGCAAAAAACCATATCTACCAATATCTCATCTTCTAAACAAGGAACACAGTTATATCACCTAAAAAGGGCACCAATTCATCCAAATATAGTATGGTGACCATCTTGGATCTTCAAGATTTCTGCTATATTAAAAGTGAGAAAAAGGTAGACTTTGGAAGAACGTTGCTGACCGTCGTAATATATTTGAAGGAAATGGTGCCTTTTCTTATAGGTGGTATTATTATGTATCTTAAAGATACAAGATGGCCGTCATACCATATTTGGAGGAAACTTGGCTTGAGTTTAAAGATGGGTTCCCAGAAAAGTATTTATCGGGTGGTTATTTCCAATAAAAGTATGGCAATTTTGGTATATATGGAAAGTAGAGATATCCAATCTTACTAGAAAAATACTGGATTCCCCGAAAAACACTCATGGAGCGTATACAGGACACAAATGTAAGGGTTCCCCTAATTAACAGCCCGACGATTAGGAACTTCTGCACGCGTGATGTCAAAGGTCACAAGCGAACATTGCGCGCTTGATGTACAAGTTGATAAACTTTATGAAGAGTTAGACGTACAATACTTTCTGAGGTAAAAATGGCGGAAAAAGACGCGGGTAGTGGATAATCCCAAAATTTAATTAGGATTCGATATTTGTAATAAATAGTAAGCGATTAAAGACAACATCGTCTTATGTATGCAATGAAATTCTTCTCTGACTCCCAAGACGTGACGTAAACATGACCTGGTTTGATCGAATTTTAATAGCAGGGCATTCCTTCGCAATTACAATGTTTGAGAAGGATTTAAAGCATAATTATGACAAATTAATTAGTTTGAATATGTTTTTGGTCCATATATACCATTAAATAACCCAGTTTGTACGCGGGAACCCATCTTTAATACGTCTAAATTACTTATTTTGTACGCCATGGTGCGAGAGCCATTGCAGTGTTTGAACTGTTAGCATTTTCTATGCGTACGTACCTTGTGTTTTTATCGTTACCCTGTTATTACATGCCCTCAATAAATCCGGATCTCTCAATGCCAACAGCCATGCCTCCGCGTCCATGTCGAGGAGCATTTATTAGTAGCATAATGCTATAGCGCAGAGAGAGAGAGACAGAGAGAGAGAGAGAGTTTAACGTCCAGTCAACACAAACTAGGTCATTTCGGGACTAACATATAGTTCAATTTTATTTCAATAATTCGCTTGCGCGTAGGGGTCTTTAGCAGTGGGAGGACCCGGAGAAAACCCACGAGGTTGGACTGGCGCCCCTCCTCCTAGTAACGTACAATCTTGAAATCGAAACCACGCCAGTTGACTCAATGACAGACCTTATGATACAAAGCGCGCTAACCATTCGCTCCACTCCTCCCACCCCCATGTTATAGTTGGATCTATTGGTATGTTTGTTGTATTATGTAGGATGTAGCAGTAGTTGTTTAGAGCCAGAAGTGTGTGTAGACGAGCGTTGTAGGTGTCCATACAATCTGACAGAGGGTTATATGCATGTTGATGTCTTTGGTGCAGTTGCAAAATGCAGTGGTAAATATTATATGTAAGTATGAATTCGTTAGCCTTTTAAAGGGATGACATCAAACTATGACTGTGTATATAAGGGAAAGCACCGTGTAATAATATTGTTCTTGTACATGTTTGGAACTATATGTATATTATAAGTGAAAGCATCGGGTAGTTACATTGTTCAAGTACGGGGGTATATATTTGGAAATATAAAAATATAATGAAAGTCAAAACAAGGCAAATACAATCTACAGTCGGGGCGTTGAATGTCACCATTATTCTTATACTAGAGTTTGTTTGTTCTAGAAGCTTCAAGCGAATGACAAACTTCCTCTATTTTATCTTGATCTAATGTCCCGAATCACTGCATTTCTTTATCTTATTGTCACTTTAATTTTTATGTAACCATATAGCATGCGGACAGCGTGAGTGACAGCCGGATGTATGGCTAGGGTGCGCTGTGTATGCATATCACGCGATCTGTGGGTTTCGTACGAAATATTGTTCAAAGGAAAGGCCCCCAAATCCACCTCGCGTCTTGGGGGGTGGGGGGTGGCCGAATGGTTAGCACGTGCATGCTGTATCATAAAGCCTGTCATTGAGTCAGCTGGCGTGGTTTCGAATCTCTGGTTGTACGTGACAAGGAGTTGGGTCGCCTGTCCAACCTCGTGGGTTTTCTCCAGGTCCTCCGGTTTCCTCCCACTGCTAAAGATCCCTACGCGCAAGCGAATTATTGAAATAAAATTAAACCATATGTTAGTCCCGAAATGACTAGTTTGTGTTGAGTGGACGTTAAACCCCATTTCTCTCTCACTCTCTTTCTCTCTCACCTCGCGTCTCCTACCTATGCTAAGACTATATATTATTTGGCTCCTCTGACAAGTTTCTCAGGAAGCATCAGTCTGCGATATTACCCAAGGCGGGAACGGATGTTAAGCGAGATAGTCATGTCATCAGTAATAGAAGCAGGAAAGCGAATTAGCTATCCTCGATCTGACAACATCGGTTCGTTTTTGTCCCAAACTAGAGAGAGAGAGAGAGAGAAATGAGGTTTAACGTCCACAAACTAGGTCATTTCGGGACTAACCTGTGGTTCAATTTTATTTTTATAATTCGCTTGCGCGTAGGGGTCCATATATATAGTAGTGGGCGGAAACCGGAGGACCCGGACAAAATCCACGAGGTTGGACAGCCGAGCCTACGCCTTGTCACGTACAACCGGGGAATCGAAACCACGCCAGTTGACTCAATGACAGACCTGATGATGCAGCGCGCACACACTAACCAATCGGCTATACACCCCACCCCCTAAAATAGAATTTTCATCAAACGTTTCTTTACACCCTTAGTAATAACACCGCCAAGGTTTCCAATCACCATACCCATATATGGCTATGTATGGGACATGGCGTGCATAGATTTCTGAGAATCAGGCAAGGCCTTTGACGTCAGTGTCATAGTAACGTTATATCTATTTCTTAAGGACACCTCAGTTTTGGTCAAAGGTCACCAAATGTAAGCACGGCTAGCGCTAGCCCCAATCCTAACCATGGACCTAGCCCTAACCCTTACCCACAATCTCTTCAACAATCAACAACCCTAAACTTATTTACATCTCAGCGACCTTGACGAAATCTTGGGGTGGCCTTAACAAAAAGATCTAGCCATATAAATATGACGGAACCCAATCAAATAGATGTTCAGTAGGTGAGGTCAAACTGTGGATAAAATTACAAGATAAGAGTCTCAAGATGACACTGATGTTAAAAGAAAAAAAAATCAAACATGGCTTCCGCTTATCCTGCTTCCATAATTTGTCTTGGCTTATTTCGAAAGAATTGTTGAATAATGATATTAGATAACAAAATAACAACATTTTATGAAAATTAGATAACATTTTACATCTTAATTTTGAACTCGATAACGTGATAGCCCCTCGGGGATAGATGTAGTGTCCTATTGGAACCCATGAGCCGAGATTAGGGAAACACTAGAGTGAGACCGTTGTTGAATTCACTTCACTTGCGTAATTAAAAGCCAAGATAATTTGCTTAAGTTAATGTTAAGTTTTGATGTCACTAATAAAGTAAAAAAAATAAAGTTATAACTGCTTGTCTTGCATGAATTAAATAAATATCCACAAATAATGTACATAGATAGAAAAAAAACAATTATGGAAAATGACCACGAGTTTCAATTTTAAAATTTAATATATTTTCCAAATGTAACCTTTTTATTAACCTAAAGATCAGATTGTGGGGTTGGGGATAATTCTTTTACTGACATAAACTCTAATGAATTATATATTCGGCCGAATGCTTCGGCGAAGCGGACACACCAGGCGAATATAATTCGCCCGAATAAATATTCGGCCGAATATACCAAACACTGCCGAATGACAGTGGACACACTATGCGAATTTCGACGCCGATTGATTCGGCCGAATCATTCGGCTAGTGTGTCCACCGCTTTAGTAGAACATAGAATAATGGTGGTGATAAATTGTGAATTGTTTGTATTTTATTCTCTTTATATTTTAGTCGTTCATTAATTATGTATTCATTCAATTAAAAAATACACTAATAATAATTAGTTTAATTCCTATCTTATTGTTTTATTTTATTGTAATGTATTTTATATTTTAACATTTCGTCTTTAAGGGCTGTGACTAATGTTGGTGTATTGCTAATTCCTGGGATATCATTTTAATACATATACCGATTTGTACATTTAAAAAGCATTTTATGTCTCCTACCGTTTCTAGGACAGTCATTCTGCTTGTCGGACTTGCTGTTCTCTGTATACGATGTTTAATGTTTTTCGGTAATAAATAGTTTCAAGGATAATTCCAGTCTTTAGTTATTAACGAATATTATCACTTCTACAACAGCCTGGGAAAACTATAGATTTGTATAAGATTTTAATCACTGCATTTCATCATGTATTTAATCTGGGGGGATTTCTATTTTTGTTCAACTGTTTTAATATCTTTATATTTCAGATGGTACGAAATCTAAACTTAAACGACCAGACATTCATAAAGTTTTTAAAATAAAAAAATAGACCAAGCAATTCATTGTGTTTTTTTATTTTTAATTTATTGAAACAAAGTATCTTTATCAGAACATATCCAGAACATGTCAATTCGCTATTTATTTACAGAGTGCGGTCGTTTAGTTTCGGTGATTTCACATCTCCCGAACACTCGTGTCAGGCAAGATAAGAATACAACCCGTACTTATATTTTAATTTTGCAAGGTTCCTAAAACCTTCGTTGAATGGCCTAAGACTAGTGTTGCCAAGTTAGAAAATTGTCAAATTATTTCGTATTTTAAATTTGCTACCGGGAATTAATCGAAACGAAGGGTAGTCTCGGTTGACCAGATTTACTGTTCGAGACTATTGGTTTTTAGGGTTAAGGGAAAACAAATCTTTTTAATTTTTTTAAGTAGCGACTGACGGACTGTTTTTAATTTGTTGTCAATCCATTAAATTAGCAGACATGACGTCCAACGATGAATTACTATCCAGCATTGGTTTGGGCGATCACTATAATCTCGGTACAATACAATAACTATTTACAAATAGGCTAGTACTGTGCATTATTAATAAATTTCCAACCAATACGGAGCCCCTTGTCCCCGGGTAAGTAGACAAGACAGCATCGACAGATACCAGCACGATACATTTAATACATGGAGAGACACGGACATCTGTCGATGCGGCGACTTTGACCAAGTTAAATAGGAAAAATACGAATTTATTAAGAAGGATCAATAGGTAAACAAAAGCAATTTTCCTTTTAAAAAATCGACTAAGGAAGACCTCAAAAGAATTGATTCGCGCGAAGGATAATAATAATACAGTTTTGACAAATGAAAAAACTGGTTGTAAGTCCCAACCTCGTGGGGAAGAAGTAATTTTGTATGATGTCGAAAATCAAAGATGCACTTCAGAATGCCATAATTTGGTCATGCAACTAAAAAAACCTCAACGTTTCCGATAGGAACGTCGACGCGGTTATAACCGCATGTTTGGCTCTCGCGGGACTCAAATCTAATTATACTCCAACAAAAACTACAGTTCAAAGAATATCATGTGAGCGCGTCGGTGTATCTTTAAAACATGTTTCGGAAACCCTAACGTCAGCGAAAATCATCACTTATATACGGACGAAACTACAAAATTTGGCTCAAAATTCGGTACATATGCAATAACCGCTGACTCGACTCACACGCCAATTATAATAGGTCTTCGAAATATGGCTGATAAATCTGCGCAAACTACTCTTACAACTTTAAATGAAATTTTGGCAGATCTTGATGATATAGCTGGGCCCATTATTAAATCCATAATTTTCGAAATAAGAAATGCAATGTCAGACAGAGCCAGCACCGAAAAGCTTTTTAACACTTTATTCACACTGTACAGAGTCAATATTTGTTGTAAATTAGTAGAAAACTGATCAGATTTTCTGATTCGGAGCGAAATATTCACCTAAATATAAATCATTTCTTTTGCGGTCTTCATCTATTAACTGGTTTTGCCGATAAAAGTGCGTCTGAATTGAAGAAATTTGAGGAAATGTATTTTAAAACGTACTCGTCCCAAACGTTTAAAACCGCTTTTTCATTTTTGCCAAACGAACCTGGGTGTCTTCCATTGTAACGAATTTACATCGGGTGGGGACGGAAAGTCGGGTTGTTATTTACCTTTCAAGTTGTTTTATAAAAAATATCTGCCAGGACGGATGGTCTACTGTCCATACGTGTAATATAAATGTATATGATTTAAGGATGTTGTAATAGACGACATACCGTTACGAAAGAAGGTCTAACATACAGGCATGTTGATTTAGAGGGCGTTTGTCACGATGAGATGTGTTTTTGTTAATGTTATCGATCGCTTTCAGTCCCTATATAAAGTTATAGAAAATACATATTAATATAATCAGCATATTTATTCTTGTTTACATGCTATTATACATGAAGGAGCGTGATCCCGAATTTGAATTTGTTCTTAACTGTGTATCTTCTAGTTTGTATTCACTTATTCAAACCCAACTTCAAAATGTCAATGTGCGTCTCAAATCTGTACATAACTTGATCAGCCATTGCATATTTAATCACTATTGCATATTTAAGCAAAAATAGAATTGATCTCGACATTCAGTGTCAGGCCAAGTATTTACAATCCGAATACGTGTAAGTTTATTTGAGAAAGCTTTCCAATTTGAATTGCCATCATAGGATAGGGATTTAGGAGCCAATGAAAGTCGTTTTGGTCTCGAGTCTTGTGTGTTAAGTTACCAGTTTTAGGACGGGAAGACTTATTTACATCCCACTTCTACTCGTTGCCACTGGCAACCTTTGATAAAACTGTCCTGTTTAATTGCAGTACATGCAGAAAAGTATCAGAAATGTTCAGAAAGAGTACTGTTCATTTCTGATACACGGATACTTTTATACCGTTTTAGATACCTATCAAGCAATAAGTAGAGGACGTTTAGTCCGACCCAGATCGCAATTGATAACGACGGCTCTATACAATGTCCACGAAACGACTAGTCAAAATCATAGTAACAAAACAAAATGGGGGGAACTACATGGCAGTTCAAAAACATATACAATGACATTAAATTAACATAACAACATATTACAAAAATCAATTATTATACATATCAATTGGCATCTTTTTCATAATTTGGTTTGATTTATATTAATATGCAAAATATATAAATTAGAATTTTGAATAATTATTTTAATTAATTGTGATGATAGAAGGCGCAGTTCTCTTGCTTGACACTTCACAGGCATTGAAAATAAGCAGGATGGAAAAAAAAACGCCTAGAAAGTCATAAACTTTATTACAAATAAATTTCAACGGAAGAACCATCCGCCGATGCATACTTTCACCAGGAATGACCCACGTTTCGCATTTCCTTTACACTACATTTAATAATATCGCAGTCCTCTACGCCATAGACAAGTTTGTTTTGACGATGTGGTCTAAACAAACACGTGAATGTTTTACGCTCAGAGTATCATAGCAAGACGCACGTGTAAATACTACTCAGGTCGTCTCTCCACTGCGAAATCATTCTACCATGAAATGTAACGTGAGGCTCATAAAGGGATAAATAATGAAAGAGCAGAAAGTATTTGTCACTTTTCGGTTGAAACGACTCGATAATAAATACTATTTTTAACATTTTGCTTCACAATACTCGATAGAAATGTGATGTAAGTAACTTATTAGCACCTTTCCTCGGTGTATCGGTGAATATCAGGACAGTTTTGGTCGGCTGGGCCCCTCGACCAAAACTGTCCTGATATTCACCGATACACCTCGGAAAGGGTGCTAATAACTACTACATACACCTCGGTGAAATCTAAACAACAAAGGAGAGAGACTGACAAATCCATCACCTCTGGAAATTGCATTAATTCCTCTCATCCAATTTAGCATCAATAATTTTTGAGAGTTTATTTTCTACATTGTGCTCCATATTTTCCATACTTTCGGTCAACTGGTGATGACTAAGACTTATCTTAGGGATTATTTTTGAGTGCAAAGTTCAGCAACTAAAGTAGGATCAAACTGTGACGTTTCAGCTTTATTTTTTGTACCTATTGATTTTTTAGCGTTATTATCTCTTTTTTGACTACACAGTCTTCGTGTTGTAGAACGAGTGTCACCAGTTTCATCATTGTATGTAGTTCGGTTCACAGTTTTTGTTATCCCATCCTTTACATACCTTTCAGAAGTCGATAAATCCATTGAATCGGGGAATTGCTGAACGAAATTATCCATATTTCTTGGGTATTTTAGTGGTGATATGCACTATAAGCTATTCAAATATGGCGCGACTCTAGCTTTTTTGCCCGTACGCGCAAGCGAATTATTGAAATAAAATTCAACAATATGTTAGACACGAAATGACTTAGTTTGTGTGTGTTTCTCTCTCTCTCACACTTTTTTATTGCACGTCCACCAGCTACACTCATAAAATTAGATATCTTTCGTGAAACTAAATTAGTGCCTGTTTTCCGGTTTGTGATTAGGACTCAAAGACGAGTCAACGAATAACATCGTTCGGGCAATAATGTACCCTATAGAACACACAATATACCGGTGTATATGATCAAGTATGAAGCAAGTAGATCTAGATCTATAACCAATTCAATAATTGGAACAACTGAATGCCAGTGGGTAAATCTATAGATCTAGCTTTTATTAAATGAGGGGATTGAATTGCCGAAAGGTTAGCACGTGCGCACTGTATCATAAGGCCCGTCATTGAGTCAACTGGTATGGTTTCGAATATCCGGTTATACGTGACAAGAAGTAGGTTTGCCTGTCCAACCTCATGGGTTTTCTCCGGGTCCCCCGATGTCCTCCCACTGCTAAAGGCCCCTACGCGCAAGCGAATTATTGAAATAAAATTAAACCATACGTTAGTCCCGAAATGACCTAGTCTTTGTCGAGTGGACGTTAAATCTCTTTGTCGAGTGAACGTTAAACCTCATTTCTCTCTTTCTCTCTCTCTCCGGTATAATATGATCAAGGGGTAAATTACCGACGCAACAGAAACACATCGTCTTAAGTCTATGGCCACTTGTGGGATGAGATGAACACAAAATCATCGAGGATTCCCCGCTCTTTTAATATACAACCAGTACAAAACAAGCATGATCCCCATCCAGTTAAGCATAGGAAAGGAAGTGATTATCGGTAAAGCTAAAGCCCATTACATATTTCATCATATGTCACGAGATGTAAATAGGGTTATGGCACGTGATTGTTGACGAGATTGTGGATTAGGGTTAGCTCTAACTCTATCTACATCTCGTGACCTATGACAAAATATGGAATTGGCCTTAGCCTTTAGACCTAATCGTGATTACCAAAGCAAACCTAGGATCCCCACCCTTTAAATAAACGACCAGTCATTACTGATTACCAAGGCTACCTAGGCTTGAGTGTTAAAGAATATAATGATGGCGGGATCATTCTATTTATCGCCATCAATTAAAAACAAATAACAAATAAGAAACAACATGAATGTTTGGTCGTTTTATTTAATTTTGGTTTCAGCTGAAATAAAAAGATATTAAACAATTAGACATTTAAATCATGAAATGGGTCTATTAAAATCTAGCCGTTCAAATATGGCGAAAAACTTAGTTTCACGTTGACGTGTACATGAAACACAAACTTGCCAGTTTGGATTTGATGAGATTTCTCTCGTAGCATACCTTCTTCATTAGCCCATTTGATACAGAAAGAAAGGTTGTCAAACCTCATTTCATTTCATTTGACTTTTTCGAATCGGGACCGATCTGCGTTGTTTGTACCATTGGTGTCCTGAAGACCAATTTCTCGAAAGGGACGCATCACAGATCTACGCGTTGGTATTTGTTTATGCATACCCCTTGTTTCGCGAACCATTAAAAAGTCACTTATATCTTGGAACTTCGGTCATCGTCCTAATAATGTTATTACTTACTTACAGATAATATGTGCCACTGCATGTGCCATTTGAATTTGTAAAGGTGAAGGAACGCTCGGTCAGATTGTACGGACACTTACAACCCTCCTCGAAGAAACACACTTCTGGCTCTAAACAACCACTACAGTCTACATAACCGAATTTAGTACAGGTGTTAATTAGAATACAACACAATCTTTTAATTGGAATACAGTTTCTAATTAGAATACAGTACAGGTTTTAATTAGAATACAGTACTGGTGTTTTTAACCCGTACAGTTGTTAATTAGAATACAGTACTGGTGTTTAATTAGAATACAATACAGGTGTTAATTAGAATACGGTACAGATGTTAAGTAGAATATAGTTCAGGTGTTGATTAGAATACAGCACATGTGTTCATTAGAATACAGTACAGGTGTTAATTAGAATACAGTACAGGTGTTAACAGGTTAGTTAAAAGCAACGTGATTTGTACATCATTAATAATATCTAAATACATAATAAATATAATATTTTCAACGTCTGGCGTGTGAGAGAGAGAGTGAGAGAGCGAGAGAGAGAGAGAGAGATGTCCACAGCTAGGGAGACTAGGCCGTTTCGGGACTAACATATGGTACAATTTTATTTTAATACATGAATATCAACAATCTTTTAAAAACCTGATATTCTTCGAATCAACAAGAATATTGACCGACCGTTTGAAGTTGTGCAATGCCAATAGTGTGCAGGTTCATGTAGCTGTAGAATGCGCATGCGTGTAAAAGACATGTCGTATCAACTATTGACGACGTAGCACTCTGGTCACATGACATGACAATTTACAGGGTTATCCCCCTCTAATATAGACTATAACAACTACAATTACATTTTACACTGTACTTCTCACATTGGTCACCATGGAAATACCCCATTTCGTCGTAGGGACAATAAATAGTGCCACCAGAACACAATCCACCATTCAGAACTGTCGGATAACACGGATCTGTGGATAAAATTAAACAACAAATCAAATAGAACAACGACGATTTAACGATCGAATACACCAGAATAAAATTTGGGAAAATTTTCTTAACTCGTTGTCGCTTAAATTGAAGTTGAGAGAGAGAGCAAGGGAGAGAGAGAGAGAGAGGGTTTAACGTCCACTCGACACAGACTAGGTCATTTCGGGACTAACATATGGTTCAATTTTATTTCAATAAATCGCTATTTCAATAGGGGTTTTTAGCAGTGGGAGGAAACCGGAGGACTTGGAGAAAACCCACGGAGTTGGAATAAATGGTCCGAAGTTGAAGAAATTAATAATCAATGATACATATCTAAATATTTTGACAGTCGATGCGGCGTACAACAGGTGTGTGTGTGTTTCAAGCTCATTGTTATAATCCTTGAATATAAATCAGTAGTGATAAACAGTATGTAGAATACTAATACTACCAGAATGTAGAAGACACTTATTGTTACTGCATGTGTCCATCTGTATACGTTGTTTATCGCCAGAACAACATCAGCATATTACACAAATGTTATTCAGAATCCAATCTAATGCATAAAATATTGGTTGTGGTTGGGGCACTTCTAAATATTGAAACATTTTACAAACAACGTGATACATAAAAAAAAAGATAACTTACAACGAAAGGAGAAGTTTTCACAAAGGTCCCCAGTGAATATTCCGGTTTCATTTGCTACACAGTGACACACGTCATCAACACACTGTCCATTATTCTGACATGGACATCCTCCTGTACAAAACCAATTTGCATAATTTGAATGTGGGAATATAACACGATTGTTATTTATGTTATTTGTATGATATTCTCGTGTGTTACCATGATTGTTGTTTCATACTGACTGTAATAAACCATGTGTTACCATGTTTGTGATTGTTGTTTTACAATGTAATAAACCATGTGTTACCATGTTTGTGATTGTTGTTTTACAATGTAATAAACCATGTGTTACCATGTTTGTGATTGTTGTTTTACACTGTAATAAACCATGTGTTACCATCTTTGTGATTGTTGTTTTACATTGTAATAAACCATGTGTTACCATCTTTGTGATTGTTGTTTTACATTGTAATAAGTCATGTGTTACCATGTTTGTGATTGTTGGTTTACACTGTAATAAATCATGTGTTACCATGTTTGTGATTGTTGTTTTACACTGTAATAAATCATGTTATTAATAAATGTTTCTATTATTGTGATTGTTGTTTAGCACTGTAATAAAACGTGTTATTTAATTAATTAATGTTACCATGTTTGTGTAATTGCCGTTTTCTATAATTTCTGCTTACCTGGCGTTTCGCATAAAGAGGTTATTTTCACCATGTTATAAATGACGTAACAGTAAGCTAGAATTAAGCCTAAAACTAATAATTAAGCCGATGTCCGCTAAACCTAGCCCATTTCTAGTCGAAATCAAATTAACACCATTCAATATTTTATGTTGACCTACATCGAAATAGGAGATGCGAAAAAGCTAATTAAATATAGAATGTGACCAAATAGATAATTTACCTGTATATGTTTCACAGTTGACACCTGTATATTCTTTTAGGCATTTACATCTGCCCCCAAATTCACACGTACCCCCATTTAAACAGCCACCCACACAATCTGGTAAAAAAATAAAACATTATATAGTAGTGAAGGTATATTTAAACAAATTATCAATAAAAACGTCTCCGTATCCGCCCTTGCAGATTATAATTATCATGACGTCATCAAGGCTTCTGAATCAAGAGAATCTATTGTAATATAATATAAGATATACAATACCTTCCACACCAGAACAACTCGCACCATATATATACTGGGTAGCATTTGACTTGCATTGACAATTACCATATTGACACCAACGGTCACTCGAACAAGGGGGATTACATCTATCTACAATTGTAAATACCCCAACTATGAACATATATGAACAAACTGATAATTTTGACCCAAGATTACAAGACTTGGCCCAATTATAACAATGTAGTTGCTCCAGTTCCAGAAAGCGAAACATTTAATTCCACACGTAATAAAGGGAACGTTCTAATACCAGCAGATTGTAAGCCTAAGGTCTAAACCGCTATTAACCTATCTTTAGAGTCAGATGACCAACAAATGAAATGGGGTTTAACGTCCTACTGTGTGCTATGAGGGAAATTTTGCCCGGACAGCGGCACTACGGCCTACACTTATATCGATTTCCAACTGTCAAGGGATCTTGTACGTGCACACCAATGTGTACACGAGTCCTAGACAGCTGTTCTTGTCAGGCCCTCCGTCCTGCATCACTGACAAGGGGGAAACACGCCGGAAAATCTGGATGAACTTTCTCGGCCAATGCAGGGATCGAACACTCGACCTCCAGGCTACCCACTTAGCCACCGTGATCCCAAGATAACAAACAAAGCTCCTTAAAAAAGATTGTACAGCATGGGGGAGTTTTCTAGCCATTAAAATGTTTTGAGAGGGATTTGAAGCATCCGTTTGATAGATTAATCAGTTTGAATATGATCACACCCTTGTGAAGGTATCTACAACCTCCTTATAACCAGCTACAGAAGACGCCCCAACCAGATGTTTCGATGTCCAGGCTATCTATAAAGGTTGTCATGGTTTAATGTTTTGACGGACCGAAAATCATATCTCCAAAATCCCAGCAATTCCTAACTCCTATCATTGTTTCATTTGATTAGATTTAATCCCACTCAAACACTGCTGAATTGACTGATGAATCAAGTCCAAAATTGGGGGGTTGGATGGCTGAATGGTTAGCACGTGCGCGCTGTACCATAAAATCTGTCATTGAGTCAACTGGCGTGGTTTCGAATCCCCGGTTGTACGTGGCAAGGAGTAGGGTCGCCTGTCCAATCTCTCGTGGCAATCTGATTAAAACACATGTTCTATTTAGTTTTTTTTTTATAGTTCAAAATTTCTTTTTTCCTCGTGTCAACAACACCAGGACCTGGAAGACGCGTTCTAGTTGATGTGAGGGATTAGCCAATGAAACGGTCTTGGCGTGCTCTGCACGAAACTGTGTGTAAACCACTAGCAACGTCAACGCTGATTGGTTAATCAATGTATGACATCATAGGGTCAAAAGCCGCTCGTATGACCCCTAATGCGACCTCCCAATACAACTGGTCAGACCTTCATGTAGTGTAGGCCATCGGAAGTATAAAAAACGAAACGAAATATAGATCTGTATTTTAATCAGATTGTATGACTGGTTAACGGTCAGATTAACAGCTAGTCGATTACAATGGCTAGAGTAGGATATCTAGGACCATTGCTTCAGGAATATGCAGCAATGTTGACTATCCATCGATGATTATGTGATTATATAAATCAAATTGTAATACAAGTAATATCCTACTTACTGAAGTCTTGAAACTGTTCACATGCAGATCCATAATAATACCCTAGAGGTGAATATTTACATTGACATGAACCGTAATAACACGTTCCACCATTCTGACAGGCAGGATTACATACTGTAAAAACACTATCACTGTTATTTTACAGAAACAGAACTACCAGTGTCTGTCATGTAAATTTACACCTTTTTTTGTCCCCCGCCTTTCGAAGAAAGCAGGGGACTATTAAAATGGGTTCATCCGTCTGTCTGTCCGTCCGTCCGTCCGTCCGTCTGTCTGTCCGTCACACTTTTTGGGACACAATAACTCTTCTCCTAATTGACCTAGAATGTCCAAACTTGGTGTAGGTGTTTATTAGGTCAATGCCTTGATGGAGTTCGAAGATGAGCATTTTCTGCTTAGGGTAAGAAGAGATAAGCAATTTGATTGGTTGATGCTTTGGGACACAATAACTTTAGTTCTAATTAAGTGAGAGTGATGAAACTTGGTGTATAGTTTTATTACATCAATACCTTGACTAAGTTCGATAAAATGTTCAAACTTGGTGTAGGTGTTTATTAGGTCAATGCCTTGATGGAGTGTGAAGATGACCATGTTCTGCTTAGGGTAAGTAGAGATATGCAATTTGATTGGTGGATGCTTTGGGACACGATAACTTTAGTTCCAATTACGTGAGAGTGGTGAAACTTGGTGTATAGTTTCATTAAATCAATACCTTGACTAAGTTCGATATTGAGCTTTTTCTGCTAAGGGTAAGCAGAGCGATAAGCAATTTGATTGGCCGCGACGTTGGAACACAATAACTCTCCTTCTAATTGAGCTAGAACGTTTAGTCTTGGTGTAGGTGTTAATGGGGTCAATGCCTTGATAGAGTGCGAAGATGAGCATTTTATGCTTATGGTAAGTAGAGATAAGCAATTTGATTGGTTGATGCTTTGGGACACGATAACTTTAGTTCTTATTAAGTGAAAGTGATGAAGCTTGGTGTATAGTTTCATTTTATCAATGCCTTGACTAAGTTCGATGATGAGAATTGTCTGCTTAGGCTAAGGAGCAATTGGCCAAGACTTTGGAACATAACAACTCTGCTTCTAATTGAGGTAGAATGTTTAAACTTGATGTCTTGACTGAGTTCAATGATTAACATATCGAGCTAAAGCTAAGCAGAAATAAGCAATTTCCTTTGTCGATGCTTTGGGACAAGATAACTTTGATTCTATCTGATAGAGAGTGATGAAACTTAGTGTATAGTTGATAATCAGTTTGATTGCCCGATACTTTTGAAAAAAATAGATGTGCGATTAATTAATATGTGTCATCTATTTATTTGGGGATTTCGGCGGGGGACATCAGCCTCACTGTTGGCTTGTTACTCTTAAAACTGCATCAATCGTTTCAAAATGTACTTTTTTTATTCTATTATTTGGGTACAAAACTACATGATTAAAGGTAATAAATACTACTAACTCATGGGTTCTTAATAATAAACATGTTATACAGCATACAATGACGAACGATATTATATATTACATCTACCAAACCTGATTACTAGGATAGTCAATGATATACTATTTACCATACGAGATTACTACGATGGTGGTATACCATTGTTCCTTCTCCACCAACATGGAGGCATGTTTTTTGTGGAGTGACAACTAGGATTCGCCCCCTCGTGACCACAATGCTTCACAACTATCAAAATTATACATTACATTTAGGAAAATGGATATTTACTCCGGAATAGAAAGTCGCGGAAAGCTGGATATCGATAGAGCTCGTCCTTTCATAACCCAAATATTTTCACACCAAATATTAAAAGAATGGGATTAAAAACTATAGCCTTTTTCAAGTTAATAGGGTTTTCATTAATTCTTGAACTAAATATGAAATATAACTGTTAAAAACTGTAGCCTCGATAGCTTTAACAAGGTTTTCAAAAAGGCGGGGGGGGGGGGCTAACTGTGCAACGGAAGGTCGCGGAATATCGATATATCATGACCCCAATACCTCATACCACGTTTGAAATCAGTCCGTTACAAACCAGCATCTATCACGCAAACAAGCCAAATGTTGACAGCCCAACAGTGGTGACGATATAACACACCCACACTGAAATGTGGGAGTATCAAAACATTTCGAACGTATTCAAAGTATTTGAAGTATTTATATAGTTATTGTGATTAAATACCTCGGCCAATATAAAATTATACTACCGTACATTGCACCCGTGACCATATACCTATTAGCAAATGACCGAACTGTTGTTTTGGGCAATTGTTTTTTTATTTTAACGCTATTTTATTCATTTGTTTCTTTCAAGTGAGAATGTGTTAGATACGTCATTATTTATTTATAAAAAATAAAAGTATTATTTTAGCATTGTGTGTTGAGTTATAACATCACTTGCCATTTGATGAAAGAACATTACAGTCAGTACACTATATACACATCATTACATTCCGTTCCCTATATACACACGTTACATTCCGTACACCATGTACACATTACAGTCAGTACACTATATACACATCATTACATTCTGTTCCCTATATACACAATACATTACGTACACTATATAAACATTACATTCTGTGCACCAGAATGTCCAGAATGTTTTAACTATTCCTCCAGAAATCCAACAGTTTGATAAATAAAACCTAATATTTGATGACGTTTAAATGTCGTTGTATCTATAAAAACAAATACATGTAAATTAATAACATACTTACAGATAAACTGTTCACATGTAGAGCCGTTATAATACCCTAGAGGTGTAGATTTACAATAACAGGAACCGTAATAACACGTTCCACCATTCTGACAGGCAGGATTACATACTGTAAAAAAAACTATCACTGTTAATTTACAAAAACACCACTACCAGTGTCTGTCTTGTTAATTTACAGAAACAGGACTACCAGTGTTTGCCTTGTGAATTTACACCCCTTTTTACTCTTAAAACTGCATCCACAAGTGGACCAGCAAAACATCGAAAAAGGTGGAAAGATGGGGATGGAAGTTTTGAATCGACCAATAATTTGTAAGCCATTATATTAATCGTTTTAAAATGTACTTTTTTATTCTATTATTTAGGTACGAAACTACATGATTAAAAGTAATACGAGTAACTCATGGGTTCTTAATAATAAACATGTTATACAGTATACAATGGCGAACGATATTATATATTACATCTACCAAACCTGATTACTAGGATGGTCAGTGGTATATTATTTACCATAACAGATTACTAGGATAGTCACTGATATATTATTTATTATTTACCATAACAGATTACTAGGATAGTCAGTGGTATTTTACTTACCATACGAGATTACTACGATGGTCAGTGGTATACTATTACCATAAAAGTTTATTAGGGGGTCAGTAGTATATCTTTCACATCCATCAAGATTAAATTACTTTTCGGATTCTCCAGAATTCCAACAAGTTTGAAAAATAGTATATAAAATTCTGACTTTTGATGACTTTAAAATTTTGTATCGATAAAAACAAATTAATAATATACTTACAGTTAAACTGTTCACATGCAGAGTCGTTATAATACCCTAGATCTGAATGTTTACATTGACAGAAACCGTAATAACACGTTCCACCATTCTGACAGGCGGGGTTACATACTGTAAATTTACATGAAAAAGTTGACAACCATGTTGTAAGAGCATCGTATAGCGACATGAGGTTAGCCTGTGGTTCGTGGTTCGTTATTGACCAATAACGAACCAAGAACTAAATGAAATGAAATGAAATGAAATGGAGTTTAACGTCCTACTTTTCTGCTCCTAACCTGGGCTAATGAAGACGGGCATACGCCATACAGTGTGCTATGAGGGAAATTTTGCCCGGACAGCGGCACTACGGCCTACTCTTATATCGAATTCCAACTGCCAAGGGATCTTTTACGTGCACGCCAATGTGTACACGGGAGAACCAAGAACTAGTTTGCAGTTTGTTATTGACGAATAACGAACCACGAACTAGTGTTTAGTTCGTTATTCACCAGATATAGAATTACTAATATAATAAAGGCGCTTTTATTGGGTATGGGTTTTTATAACCTGAATTGGGTAATATCTCAGGGGATCACGTGGCTAAGTGGGTAAGACGCTGGCTCGCTAGCCTAGAGGTCGGGTGTTCGATCCCTGCATTGGCCCAGAAAGTTCATCCAGATTTTCCGGCGTGATTCCCCCTTGTCAGTGATGCAGGACGGAGGGCCTGACAAGAACAGCTGTATAGTCCTTCGGATGAGACGAAAAACCGAGGTCCCGTGTATACATTGGAATGCACGTAAAAAGACCCCTTGGCAGTTGGATTTCGATATAAGAGTAGGCGATAGTGCCGCTGCCCGGGCACAATTTCCCTCATAGCACACTGTATTGCGTATGCGCATCTTCATTAGCCCAGCATAGGAGCAGAACAGTAGGACGTTAAACCCCATTTCATTTCAGGTAATAATCTCAGACGTTGACGTGATATAACCCATACTAGATGTATTCTTTGTGAAAGTGCCTTTATTATATTACTAATTCTATATCTAGGGAATAACAAACTACAAACTAGTTCATGGTTCGTTATTGGTGAATACCCTTTCCCATTTTGGGTGTCACATAGCTAACAAACTTTTAGAAAATCATCTAGATTTATTCAATTGGTAGAAATGATGCAAGCCATAAATCAAAAGTCCAAATAATCGATATAGTTAAAGCACTAACACAAAGCTAAGACATACGTTCTGTTTCAGAAAACAATAAATATATAGACAAGCAAGGGGTAGTAAAAAAAGACGAGACGATAATTGTATACGTGTGATGCGGTCCACCTGCATTTCCTAGTAATGTACAATACCAAATGTTCCCTGTTGTCCCCTGGAGACTAGCACATATTGTGGACATATCATTATACTATACTGACCTGGGTCATATTCACTGCAATCTGTGTTGCCATAGAAGCCAGGGTAAAAATAATCTGAGGTTGTTGCTTGTAGACAATCACATGTACCCCTAAAAGTACATTCCCCTCCATTGCGACATGTCGGATTACACGTTCCTGTAAAACACACATTTTAAATATATATAGAGGGAGAAATTAAGACAAGGTGGGTCACGTGTTTATAAGTTTCCTCCACTAAAAGAATTATCCAGCATCTGTTAAGTCTAGACACCCCTCTTTATTGGTGCTAGATATTCTTAGGAAATGAAATGAAATGAATTGAGGTTTAACGTCCCACTGCTCTGACTGGGCTAATGAAGACGGGTATACGCCATAAAGTGTGCTATGAGAGAAATTTTGCCCGGGCAGCGAACACTACGGCCTACTCTTATATCAAATTCCAAATGCCAACTGAACTTTTACGTGCAAGGGGCCTCCGTCCTGCACCACTGACAAGCGGAAACCAAATCAGAAAACCCGATGAACTTTCTCGGCCAATGCACAGATCGAACACGCGACCTTCAGGCTAGCGAGCCAGCGTCTTACTCACTTAGCCACCGTGGATGTTTAGGACTATTTTAAGAGTAATAATAAAATTTAGCAAACAATTTTAACTAAGTGTTCTAGTTCTACTGAAATAGTACATTATTTAGTATTGACAAAGAAGAGTTACTTGTAAGGTCTATAAAAAAAATCGAGAATCTTAATACTTCTTATATCTTCTGAATAATTAATTTCAGTCGTCTGTAATTGGCCAGAAGTTTACTGGACAATGGCGTAAGCCTTTTGATTTTGACCCTAGGCTAAGTTTAATTATAATATTAGTAAATGTATAAACATAACCTGTCTTGGCGATATCCGTATAATATAACCAATCATAATAGACGAATAAGAACAATAATAATTTTCTTAAAAGAAATCGGAAGAATTTGACCTTAGCCATTAGGTAAAATCATTCAGTCAGCCAAAGCACCGGCAAGGTTGGCGCGTTTAATATGGAAACATTTACCTTTTTCTTGATAATGTTGACATTGGTTTCCATAGTAATATCCGGTAGCCGACATTGAACAGTTACAGTAGGCTCCATCGGTCAAGTGAGGTGCTAACTGTGAATTTCGAAGGACAACACATTCACCTTGACTCGCTGCACATGGAGGATCACATATAGCTGTAAAAGGTGAAGGTCGAATATAATTTTCATCTAAAACTTGTATCAAACTCCATGCACCAACAACACTGTAGAGGAGATTTGTGTGTGTGTGTGTATGTCTGTGACAAGCTATAATCCTAAACGTACTCTAAGGTCGCATAACACAAATATACTTGCTGTTTCTAAAAGAAAACTGAAACAATTTAGTGATAAAAAATTCAGTGCTGCTGCACCTCGCCTTTGAGATCAGTTACCAGTAAACATTAAAGAATATTAAACTTCACAAACTTGAAGTCACAACTAAAAACTCAATTGTTTATACTATATTATCCAGACTGGAAACAGATTGTTTATATGTGTTTTTATTGACGAGAGGGTCTTTGAATGTTGCGCTTTGAGCATACATATAAGCGTATGACAAATATACATTATTATTATTATTATTATTATTATTCACGGACATTTTAGTTCCTCTCCCTGGGCTGTTCACAAGATAACTGACTGGGCCCATCTGATACCAACATTGACCAGATAACTACTAGATACAGGGTTTGAAGAATCTCGATTGTGTGTCGTGTATAGGGCTGCATTTGGCAGACTAGTGCATTTCACATAGTAAATTGATAAGATTGTCATCATATACTTACGATCAGTGCTAAAAGTGTCACACAAATCTCCATAGTAGTATTTGGGGCACACGCAAGTTGAGTAAGCAGTTGTACATCCGTCATGTTTAAAATTAACCACACATTGACCGCCATTCTGACAAAGTTTATCACATTCCACTGCAATTAATAAAAGAAATAGTTCATTACTATACTACTTCTTTGACGAGCTGTGATCTTTAGCAGTAGAGGTCATGCTACATTCAAGATTCGCTGTGGTGTTGATCAACCCAGAAGAACGACACTCGCTAGTTGAGCGAATCGTAGTCTATTGTAATTCAACTCACCTTTGATTAGGAAATTCTCACAGAATTCACCGGTGTAAGATGGTGGGCAGTTACATGTTTGTTTAAAACCTGAACAAGATGAATCTGGAGTTATAACACAATGACCGCCGTGTACACAGGTTTTATTACATGGTACTAAAATATAAACAATAATTAATACATTTAACTACGTGTAAACACGATTTATTGCATGTTATTAAAATATAAACAATAATTAATACATTAAACTACGTGAACACACGCTTTATTACATGGTACTAAAATATATTACATTGGACTCCCTGTGTATACGCTTAATTACATGGTACTGCAATATAAGCCATAGTTATTACTCCCTGTACACACTCTTAAGTACATGGTAATAAACTATAATTAATACATAAGACATACGAAAACAAATTGCACATAATATATAATCCTCCACGGCCAATAATAGTTTTAACTTACGCGCTACATCAACTTCAACACCATGTAAAACTGATATCCACCCTGGTATGACAAATAACACCACTATAATACTAGTGACCTGAAACTGGACAATACAAGGTATAATAACACCACTTTAATACTACACGTGACCTGAAACTGTACAATACAAGAAGGTACAATAACACCACTATATTACTAGTGACCTGAAACTATACAATACAAGAGGAGAGAGAGAGAAATGGGGTTTAAGGTCCACTCGACACACACTAGGTCATTTCGGGACTAACATATGGTTTTACATTTTTTTCAATAATTCGCTGGCGTGTAGGGGTCTTTAGCAGTGGAAAGAAACCGAAGGACCCGGAGAAAACCCACGAGGTTGGACAGGCGACCCTACTCCTTGTCACGTACAACCAGTGATTCGAAACCACGCCAGTTGACTCAATGATTCCTTATGATACAGCGCGCACGTGCTAACTCCTACACAATACAAGGAAACCGTGCAAGAATTATATACACCTGCTACAATCATGACATATAAATAATGAATTACTCATAAACAAATGCTACCTGTGACGTTGCGCTATCAAATACACATTATAGTAGCGACCGGCAGTTACTTCTAAATATTAAAGTTTGTTCATAAATAAATATTACCTACAAGAATCTGTGATATTGCCATATTAAATGCACATGAATAGAGTCTTACAGCAGTCACTGAAATAAATCTTTATAATAACTACAGGGACCTTCAAAATAACATTTCTTTATACCAGTACATACTTATAATCTGATGACAACCACCGTGCGATGACGTGTTGCATGGCTACCGAACAAACTTACCATATTGAAAATTCTTGTCAAAGGCTGAAAATTCATGCCCAGAGTTGCATTATATAGACCAAAACTTTGCATTAAAGGTACCGTTTCTATAGTTTTTACATATACCCCTGGTGATTGCTGGTCAAGATCGTTTTAAACCGTTGAATATATAATGCTACCTTTAAATTGTTTATATCTATGACGTTCGATGTTTAATACAAAAATTATGCTTTTGAATCATCTGTTTGGTGACAAATGCACATGTTGCAAAATGTAGTTAAAAATGATGAATATGTTTGACATGAATAAACTAAGTCACCCATAATCTTGAAGCCACGCTATTGTTTATGAGTTATATAGTACCGCTTCTCTATCATAAATATATATATATATATATATATTATGTTGTTGCTTATTAATGAGTTATGTAGTCCTGATTGTTTATCATTTTATATTATGTTGTTGCTTATCAATGAGTTATATAGCCCTGACTGTCTATCATATAGATATTATGTTGTTGCTTATCAATGAGTTATATAGCTCTGATTGTCTATCATATAGATATTATGTTGTTGCTTATCAATGAGTTATATAGCCCTGCTTGTCTATCATATAGATATTATGTTGTTGCTTATTAATGAGTTATGTAGCCCTGATTGTCTATCATATAGATATTATGTTGTTGCTTATTAATGAGTTATGTAGCCCTGATTGTCTATCATATAGATATTATGTTGTTGCTTATTAATGAGTTATGTAGCCCTGATTGTCTATCATATAGATATTATGTTGTTGCTTATTAATGAGTTATGTAGCCCTGATTGTCTATCATATAGATATTATGTTGTTGCTTATTAATGAGTTATGTAGCCCTGATTGTCTATCATATAGTTATTATGTTGTTGCTTATTAATGAGTTATGTAGTCCTGATTGTCTATCGTACATATCATGTTATTGGTTATGAGTTATGTCGTCCTGATTGAACATATTTACGTCAAGAATGATTAATATGCTGGAAATTTTTTAAGAAAGAATTGTCATTGTATAACAGTCTAAAACTGAGGCAGTGTGGGTGTATCATTATTCGGGTTTCAAATTTCGAATAATGAGACAGAACGTGTTTCGTTATTCTGGATTCAATTAAAATCATTATATTTTTTTTAGTCTTAGAAACTTCATAAAATTATTGTCCATTTGTCAAGTAAACTGATTTTTTAAAATTTAATTGACTCATAAGAAGGATGCCGCGTTATTCGTTATTCGAAATTTGAATCCCAAATAAAGAAAAAGTCCTGTCGTTCGGAAGGTACGGAACCCCGATGCCCAGTTGGAATTCGAAATAAGAGTAGGCCGTTGTGCCACTCTCCGGGCAAACCATCCCTCATAGCACACTGTATGGCGTATTCCCATCTTTAATAGCCCAGTCGGTCCAGAACAGTAGGATGTTGAACCGCATTTCATTTCCTTACATTTAATAAAGAACATGGTTTATTTGACAAATGGACAACGATGATATTTGACAGGTGTGAATTCTCTCTTCGGATATAACAGACTTCGAATGATTCTTCAATTCTTTAATATACCGGAACATAAATATACATATATCGTCATACAGTACTGACAGGCCAGTTACAGCACTTAGTAAGGGATGCTAACTAGTGACTCCCTTCAATGTACAAATTGTGTTATATTTAAAGAAAATCAGATAACAGGATAAAAGTAAATGTTGTAATTAAAACTGACCATGTCGATAGATGAACAATGCATAAAAGATTAAACAATATAATAAATCAACAAAAACAATAGATGGGATAACGTCGTTTTAATAAACGATAAGAAAGAAATGATATACATGTATATTATTTGTTGAATGATGGAAAAGAAAATATTAAATATTGAATTCGTAAAGTTAGAAGTTTGGGGAAGGACTAAAATTAAACAATCGAGCAAGAGAGAAACAGTTTGAGCAGAACACAAATACTGTCTGTACCAAGATTATAACACTATTAAAATATGAAATTGATAAGAAAGGGTAATGATCTTGTTTCAATCCTAAATAACAAAACACGTCCTGTTTCTTTATTCGTTATTGAAACCTTGAATCTCGAATAACGAAACACGTCCTGTTTCGTTATTCATTATTGAAACGTTGAATAACGAATATCCATTTAGCTTCACACTGATGAATAGAAGTGCCATAATGAACTAACTATGTGTCTAACTAACGTGTCTTGGAACAGTTGTTATAGTCAAAGTAAAAGTGAATTAACGAAAAAGAATTTTCAACGTTATAAACGAATCGTTTTGAAATTATTATTAATTGACAAAACGTGACTAACTATAATATGTTAGAAAATAAGAAAATAACATTCGACTATATTCATCACTATTGATTAAACAGGAATGAATATTGTTATCCATACCTAGATGATAAACAATATTCTAAAGCCTGGCGCACACTACGCGACGACATAGGCGACTTCGGTCGCCGACGATGAAAATTCAAAAACTCGCCTAGTGTGCGCACTCGATGGCAAGAGATGTTTCGTCGCCAGCGACTATCTGTCGCCGATATCAGACATGTTTGATATTGCGGTGATATTTTCAACGTTATAAACGAATCGTTTTGAAATTATTATTAATTGACAAAACGTGACTAACTATAATATGTTAGAAAATAAGAAAATAACATTCGACTATATTCATCACTATTGATTAAACAGGAATGAATATTGTTATCCATACCTAGATGATAAACAATATTCTAAAGCCTGGCGCACACTACGCGACGACATAGGCGACTTCGGTCGCCGACGATGAAAATTCAAAAACTCGCCTAGTGTGCGCACTCGATGGCAAGAGATGTTTCGTCGCCAGCGACTATCTGTCGCCGATATCAGACATGTTTGATATTGCGGTGATATTTGTCGCCAAACTCGTCGCTTAAGTTATCGCATAGTGTGCGCCAGGCTTAATATCAACATCTGTCTTCTGACATCTTCAAAGTTTTTACAACTTTTATAACTATGTTGTTTAACAGACATGCTGTCTAATGTCTGGTATTGCTTAGACGCATAAACACCAGGCTTTCTTGTTATTTTGACAATGAAACGCTAATTTTAACTATTTGGTGACAGACCTGTCGATGATAAAACTGACTGCGCGCAAGACCTGTCAATATAATTATGTAAAATGGCTTTCTACACATTCCACTTTTTTCCCGACATCATAAAGCAGTATAATTGTTTTTGGAACTTGATTCATTCTTGTTTTCCTTTCAAAATGAAATTTTCAGCTCAATTTAGAATCAAAATTAGAATACAAACAGAACGAGGAGGTAGTCAAAATACACAGTCTGTCTGTACTAGAGTTTTACGTCCACTTCCACCATTTGTGATATCGTAGATAAATGTTTCCTAAGAAACCTACTAGAGGAAGCCACAGTAAATAGGCTTGATCCAGTTTGATTTGGGTAGGACACAGTGTCTTTCTAGGGTAATGCCCATAAATACACAGTTACACCCATTGTATTTATATAATCCGTGCGAGTCATTTCCGCAAATTTCCTTCCTGGTTCAAGATGGCCGCCATAGAACCAATCGATAACCAGGTTAAAGTAGTAATAGAGAATCAGAATGAAGAGGATTTAAGCTGATGTATCAAATATGCGGATGGCGATGTTAAACTGGAGTATACAGCAACTGACAACTAAAGAAAAAATAGATGTCGATATACAGTTTGGAAACACGCACGATTCAGATTTCCTCATATACAGCAAGCCTACGATCAAGCCCCGAGTTCACAAAGCATTTCAGATTTAGGAATGTATCAACTTTCAGTCACTGTTTATGAGAAATATCTTTGATCCAGAAACCCAAGACTTTGGACATAGTTTCTTATTGATGTATTTGATACATTAAAACATTAAAAGTTTTATAAAGGGCTATATTTTAGTTACAATAAGGCGACTAATTTTGAGTAGATTTTTAACCTGAGAATGCTTTGTGAACACGGGACCAGAGCATAGACGTTTCTGAAACTGAATATTAAAGAATACGGCTACGAAGGGTGGGTTCAACACGTACTAGATGCGCTGATATTTGGTAGAAATAACACACTCTGGAGTCATATATATAATCAAAACTAATGGAGAAAGAGTTTATAGTATCGAGCATCAAAGTGAAAAATTGTGTAACAATCCATGGTCCAACATTTGCAACACTATCTTAGTGATAACAAAGATCAGTTTAGTAAATATATGATTTATTTACTTCAGGTATATCAAACAGCTACATACATACAACAAAAATACGGAAACTTGCAATATACAGGAACATATATAACTATATGAAATCCGCCATCCTGCCCCTCTGCCCAGGCAGCGGCGGAACTCGGGTGAGTCCATACCACGGTCTGTGCGTCTCTCTTCCTTTCCAGTCGTCTTCCTTACTGTCAGCAAACTCCTGCTTATATAGCGTAAAGGGCCAATCCCGACAATATTTTGGAGAATAAAACTGCTTAGTTTTGTGATAAAATCCTTTAAAATCCTCTACCTTAGGGCCACGCAACTAACTCAATATATGTGATACGTTTTCAAACAACATAAACCCGTCAGTCTTAATCTGGAAATGGAGACCGGTGTCCCAAGCTGTATTATGCAGTGTCTGGATAAAACCAGACTTTTATTTTATAAAAATAATGTGTAGGTGACATTTACCCTTCGTTATCAAATACAGCACATTGTTTATTCACTGTATAGACCTCTAAAGGAACAGGAATCGATTATCAGGTCACCCAACGAAAAAATTGATCCGAAATCTTAAAAGGGTTACGTGTCCGGATAAGCAGTTTTGACGTTCACGTGCAAACGACTCAATACTTTGAGCTGAAATTTTGGGACAGGGTAAATACACCATTCCTCTATATTTTGGCGCTTAAATTTTATACTTACTCGGATTTTTATTTTTGAGTCTCTGTTCAAATCGGGATAGTCCCTTTAAGAGTGATCATCATATATGGTATTGTTTATTTATCAGATTATGCTATCTGTAATTG